GCCTACTTCTCGGCTAGGGGGGGGGGCTTGGATATTCGAGGGGCGAAACGGTTCGCGGATGCTGCTTCTTCTTCTTGTGGCCGGACTGTTTACACACTCCCACCACCCAGGGGCAGCAGATCAAGTGAGTCCCCCTTGGAAATCCTCAAACTCAAACTCGGACCGTCTGCCGGGGATATGTGCCTAGCTCGATTTCCCGGATTCCCCAGGATCCCCCTGGTTCCTCCTTGTCTACGCGGTTTGGGGACTTCATTGTAGTTTTTCCGGTACTTGCCTGGTTTTTGAGGCGGAATTACTCTCGAAAAAAGCCTAAGAAATGCCTTAAAATGGAATTCAGAGCAAGGAAGATGTGTATTATGCTCTCCCTCTCTCTCTCGCGCTGGCACTCTCTATCTCTCTCATTCTTTCTCTCTCGCTCTCTCTCTCTCTCGCTCTAGCGCTCTGTATTTCTCCCTCTCTCTTCCTCTCTCGCTCTCTCTCTCGCCCTCTCGTTCTCTCCCTCTCTCTCACTCTCTTTCTGTCTGGCTACCTATCTATAACTCTGCACTAGCTTTATCTCTCTATCTCTCACACTTTCTCTCCCTCTCTCTCGCTCTTTTTCTTTCTCTGCGTATTTGAGCACTAACTTAGCATCTAGCAGGCTTCATCATTTGGACACCCCCAATCGGCCCCGCAAAAATTATGCACGCGCGCCGTCTCCCAAAGTTTTACGGCTCTATTACACTTTTATCCTGGCCGCGCTGCCCTGGCCACCACGAGGGTCACGGCTTTACTCGCAGGCCGCCAATACCAATGCTATTATTCGGAAATTACTAATTTCTGCATTTTGCGTATTTTTTATGAATTGAGCTCGCTTTATTTTCGCGAACATATAAAATTCAGGCTCGATTTTTCTGGCCCGTTTCAATTTCTATTTAACAAAAAATCGCGAGAGGGCCAGAAATCTGGGGAAATGACCGTATTTCAGCAATCTATATTTGTAAATACAAGCATTATATTAAATGACTGTTTCCAAGTTAAGTAATTTATATTCTGTCATTTACATCGGTTCTTTTTCGATTAAAATAGGCGCTAACGTTTTATTTGCAAATTTTTTCTTCGCAAACGTCGTTTTTGAAATGAAAAGTGTAAGGCCACTGTTTGGAGAAATTAGAAAGTTAGAAAATTATACATCATGATTTGGCAACGGTTTTTATTATTTTATTTGTTATTTCATACGATGGAAATTCGCATTTTAACGCTTGCAAGCCGCGCAAGCCCCAAATATCCCGATTCCCAAACTGCCCTAATTTCCCAATTAGCGACTTGACTACTGCGGGCCAATTTTCCTTCCAATTTTCCATTTTCCACTACCTTCCAATGGACGGGGGACACTGGCGGGAAAAGGGAAAGGGATGCCCTGGGACCCAAAGGGCCCGGAGAGGGCCCAGAGATCAATAGGAGGACCCGAATGGGGCCTGGTGACTAGGGGGGAGTCCGGGCCGGAAAACCGAGTAGAAAATAGCGGAATCCCCGGCGGAAGAGAGAGAGAGAAAGAGAGAGAGAGTGAAAGAGAGAGAGAGCGAGAGAGAGAGAGAGAGAGAACAAAATAGAGACCTACCCTGGCAGATAAATCGCCAGTCTTCTGCCCTGAGAGCTCCATTTTCCATACATGCCCTCCAGGCATCGACATGGTGCCTCCCCAACAAAATTAATGAGATTGCCCCCTGCCTATTCATGAGAATTTGCCAGCGGCGTGTTTTACGAATGAATACGGGAATTTCGCTATTCTTTTTAACGAATTTGTGGTTTTTTGGATGTTAATTTGCATATCATTTCTAGCCCTAATCAGCAAAATTTTTCGAGTGTGCATCGGCAAAATTTCATTTGTTTTTAGATGTAGAACCCCCTAAATTTTTGAAAGTTAATTTTATGCCGCGATTTGTAAACACGATTTGTGGCTTTAAGATTAATTTTCGATAGATAAAACGACTTTGCATATTAGCAAGCAAAAGCCGAATCGTTCAGAATCACGTAAGGCATTTTATCGAGCTAGGGCAGGTGCTGGAAATCATTTTTACAGATTATCACTAAAGGTAAAAAAAATCATAAAAAAAGATCGTAGTCGAATGGAGACGAATTGACTCTGGGAGTACTCAAAATGGGCTAAATACGGCTCACCGGATGGTCTACCGTACTCCTCGGGGACCGGGGACAGCGCTAATCTGGTGCTGGGGCAACACCTGCCTAAAATTATAGCCTATATCACTCTCTAGCTCTCTCTCACTCTCTCGCGCACTCTCTCTCTAGCTCTCTCTCTCTCTCGCTCACGTTTTCGAGATGCTCGGGCTAAATTCGGGGTTGCGGACTGATTAAAGCCAGGTGCTTTTGGGTCGACGAATGGGACGGATCGGAACGGAACTGGTCAGATTAGAAACCACCGTACGATTAGGTATTGATGGGAATACCGGGTTGGTAAAGGCAAAAGCAAGGAAAAACTGATTAGCATCAAAAAAAAAAAAAAATAATAAAGAGTTGCTATCTCTCTGGCTCTCTCGCGCGCTCTCGCGCTCTCTCTCTAGCTCTCTCGCTCTCTCTCTCGCTCTCTCGCTGTCTCTCCTCTCTCTCCCTCCCGCTCTCGCTGTCTCTCTTTGTCTTCCTCTATCGCCCTCTCACGCTCATCTGGACTTCTCTCGCACTAAAAATTAGATTCAGCTTATTTGAAGAAAAAAGTTAATAATTTCCTCGTCAATGGCAAGCTAGCAAAAAACCCTTAATTTTCTGATTTTCGCTAAAATACCTTTTCCCACACCGTGAAAAATTGGCCATATGCCTGGAGGAACGACCGAGACTCCAAACTAGAGCGAAATGGGGAGAGAGAGAGAGCGAGAGAGCGAGAAAGAGAGAGAACAAGGAAGAACACCAAGTCAGAGAGGGAGCAAGAGCTCCGACAAGAACGAGAGTAGGGGAATACCCCCAGGAAAAGCCCAAAAGCTTAAAAGAGGCCCTGGGGCGTCTTTTCTTTAGTTCCGAGTCCTCTCTCTCTCTCTCTCTCTCTCTCTCTCTCTCTCTTTTCAGTCCTGTTCATGTGTGTGTGGTGGGGCCCGCCGTGGGCCCCATCGGCTTGGGGCCCAGTCGTCGTGTCTCGTTCCCCCTCCCTCTCCCTTCTTCTCCCTGGGCTTCTCCTCCTCCTGCCCCCGGCGGTGGGAGCCCCATTTTGCTTTTCTCTGCCTTTACTACAACCCCCTCGGGCTTCACGTATGCGCATTCGATTGTTTCCGCGGTTCCGGAATTTGGCTAATTTGCTAAATTATCGTTTTGAAAAGGCAATTTGCCCGGCTATGCGGTTTCGATTCAATTTCCACTTTCGATTTTTTGGCAAAAACTCCTGGAAAACGGGCTTCAAGAATTCCTACCTGCTCCGAAGTTAGCCATTTTGAGTCCATTTTCATTTTGATTTTAGTCCATTTAGTCCATTTTGAGACTAAAAGTGTATTTTCTGAGTTCTGCTAAAATTTACTGTGAAAAGTCGCCGAGAGACATTCACACGCAAAGTAGATCACCTGGAGTTTTGCAGGAATTTCACGTCTTTCTGTAATGTCTATGTATGTATCGGAGCATGAGATTCCATGGCCCGTAGGAGTTAGTCTGGTTAATCTTAGGACAAACATTTGTTTCGTTTTGAGAGCGCTTACTTCGACCACTGCTAAAATATCGTTGCATAGCGCGTATTGACTTGAAATCCGCTCGAGTCGATGAAGCTCATTCCGTAATTTCTCTATTTCTACTCAAACGTATTTCTCGCGGCTAGTAAGTTGAATTCACAGTGAATACCTCATTCTAGTGTCGATGGCTTATATACCTTTCTAAGGTTCGGCAGGGATTTATAGAAACATAGCGCCAGTATCTAAACAGATGGATTGATAGAAACACATTAGCGTTTTTTGGCGGCGTTTTTTTTGAGCTGCACTGAATTTTACGCCACCTTTACCTATCCACTTCAAATTGTAAATTGACGCGCCCAGATCAAATACTTCAGTCTGCAAGCTTCATCACTGATTTTGCATCCCCCTTTCCGATATGCACCTTTTGTCCTTCCCGGTGGGACCCGGGTGGGCCCGTGGGCGTCCGGCCGGACCCATGGATTGGGGGCCCTAATGTGGCTGGCGGACACCACCCACCCGTCCTCCTTCCTACCAGCCGCACACACCCAGCCCCCGGGCGGGAGAATATCTTATTTTCTCGCCTTTCCGGCGGCAGAAGCGGATCTTGGAGGCCCAGGCGGCTATAGGACGCCTTCCAAAATCCCAGGAAATTTTTTGAAATTCTGAGAAGCATTTTTGCAGTATCCTATCAAATTTTAAACCTCTTGTGGTTGTAATTCGCATCAAATTACTTAAAATTTGCATATTTTTATTGTACTCCTTTTTTAAATTCTAATTCCTAAGGGTTAACGGAGCGTTTTGTAAGATTTCGGAAATTGCAGTAACTGGCAGCGTTTTTATTGATTTCTGGTCTCATTTTTGCCATTTTTCACGCCATTTTTCATGTTTTTTTTTCATAAACCAGGGTTGAAAAGCCGCTTCGCGACTTTTCAACCCTGGCCCCGTATGACCCCATTTTATCCTTTACTTTGCATAATTGTCCTAAATTCGGATGACAAAAAATGAAAAACAACCTCTCCTGCCCCTTTATATACTCGAATCCCAACTTCCGGTCTATGCTAATTATTCTTAACAAAGAAGTTTTTACAAAAACTTAAAACCTATTTTGATAGGTTTTTTTTTTGTGTCTCTTATGCGTGCAGTCATCTCCAAGCCATTGCGCACCTAATGACGTATCATACATACCTTAAAACGCATCCCCTATCAAGATATCCTCCGGACAGACAGACGGAAGTGGATGCAAAGTGGCACACACACACACAGACACACACAGACACTATTTTTTTATATATAGTAGGATAGTAGGATTCCTGCAACTTCACAAGCCTTTTTCAGCTTCTCGAGCGCCGCGGCCGGATGCGGCCGCCAGATCTGTGGCGGTTATGGCTCAAACTAGCGGCCCTGCTGACGTACGGGGCGACGTTGGACAAAACGAAGTACGTAGGGATCCATGTTACGCTTGTTTATACAACTTTTTGTCGGAATTTACCATTAACCCCCGATAATACCTTAAATTTCATTTTAGTATCGAAGACTGCGCAACGGTTCTCGGCGAAAACCTGCTCGAGACGTTCAACCGAGCCACGAGATCGCAGCATATCCCGGAGGTAGGATTTAATATTTTAAATAATCTTAAATCGAGTCGATTGATATGTATTATAAATTCCATCTCAAATCATTTTTTTTTTAGTACTACGACGGTTACGTCGAGGTCGAGCAGTACGACCCGCGGATAGAGCTCAAAAAGGCGAAACAGCACATCGAAAAATATTTGGCGAGGAGGGCAAAATTTGCATATGTGAGTTGTATCATCTCACTCGCGCTCTCTCGCTCTCCTTCTTTCTCTCTCTCTCGCTCTCTCTCGCTCGCGCTCTCTCTCTCTCTCTAAAATACATTTTCAGGATGCGAAACTGTCCCTCGAAGCACGACCCCTCCTCGAAGGCACCGATCTTGAGGTAGGCAAGCTAGCGGGGATTTTTGGGGTTGCGTCGAGTTTTTTCCTTAAGAATATCTTTAAAATTTTCTAAAAATTGCATAGGTGGGCCTATCCCTTTAAAACGTAATATAATATCAAGGTAAATTTTCAGGTCAACAACCCGGACTCGAAAAACTTTATCCGGTATATGAGCGCCAAGTCGGGAGGTGATGGCGGGATTTTGTATCGTCATGACCACAGCTTTAACAACAGGATCAGCTTAAACGCGACGCGGTGAAGAATTCTAGTTTTTTGGTATGTTTATATTTTTAGGAACTTTTCGATGCACGCCAATGCGAATTTCTACTTCCTCAGCACGTCTTCAATAGCCTCGGCAGTGCATATCCCTACGCCGATCTATGATCGAGGTAAGCGGACGCGAAACTGGGTTTTAAGGGGGGATTAGGCAGCCAGATATTTAGAGCCACATTTAAATTAACGCGTTTCCGAGCAGCATTTTTCAAATGCTATTTTGAAAACTCGAATTCTAAATATTCGATTCTCGCTGCCTATAGGAAATAGGAAAAAGAATTATGAAGAAATTTTTCGAAATTCTGGTTTTCGATAAGTAATTTTTTGAAAATTCGGGTGTTGGATCAATGGCCGATTTGAATACTTACATAATTTTATTGGAATTTTGAATATTTTTGCGTAGAAATTTTCCTCAAGAATCTTTGCCAGCCTCCCAACATTTTTTTAAAAGGCAACATTGCCAGCAATATATGAATTTTGCTTATTTTTAGCGTCGAAAGGCAAAATCATCCTCAAGGCTTCATGCTAGCTTGCCCGGTTTGGGATCTAAATCACACGCATTAATGAAAACCAAAGATTTGTCCTGTTTTCCAGACCCCGAACTCCTCAACAAGATCCACTGGTCCGACATCGATCAGGTGTACCGCAGCAATCGGGAGGGAACCCGAGACTTGGCCTTCCAGCTCTTCTGCTCCGAATCTGGGTTTATGCGATATTTTCCAGGTATGTAACTGTACCGTAGCTTTATTTTATTCAGAAAAATTGGAAATCGTTCCGGTATTTAAATATTTTTAGCCGCTCCTTGGTACTGGGACCACGAGACCGATCGAGACGTCTTGGACCTGTTTGACTGCCGGAATAGTGAATGGTAGTTTCTACCGTTTTGTAAGGAATATTTTTTGCTAAGGTATATCAACGGTGCGACTTGCTCAAAAAATGTGCTCATCATGCTCGACATGAGCGGCTCGATGCTGGGGCAACGGTCTGTTTTTCTCGTTTTTCTAGTTTTTTTGAGTCTCAACAATAATTTGATTAATCACCTATTTTCAGGTATGAAATTGCCAAACAAACCACCGAAGCCATCTTGGAGACCTTGTCCCACAATGATTACTTCAATATTTTGCCGGTAGGTCAAATTCCTTTCCTTTTGCAATATTTTCGCAATTTTGTAGTTTGTAGCGGAGTAAAAACAATACTGACTTTATAGCTCAACCCTACATGGCCTAATGATCATATTGTCAAAAAAACAAAAAGTGTTAAACGCAAAATGATCTCGGGCGGGATCGAACCGCCGACCTTCTGTGTGTTAGACAGATGTGATAACCACTACACCACGAGACCGATGGGTGCGGGTCGCGGGGAGGGGCCTATACCAAAAGGGCGGCGGCGGGGGGGGAGCGCAGATTGACAGGGCAGATAAAGGGCATGGCAACCGAATTAGGTCGTGAAACTTTCCGGAAAATTAAAAAAAAAATCAATTTAAGCCAATTGAAATACAACAAATTGCACATTACGGAAAATCAACGTTTAGAGCTGCTAATAGATGAAAAATTGGATTAACCTGAGAGCTTTTCTCTCAAGAATTTAAAGTATCTTTTCAGTTTGCTGCAAACCCTCAATTCTTGGATGAAGAATGCTCGAAACAGCACCCCATGCTACAAGCGACGATGAGGAATAAAAAGTATCTTTTTAATTCTTCTTAATTCACGCTTTTGATCTGAGATTTAAGCAGTTGTATCTTAAAGGATTTGTAGCAGTTAAGGAAACTGTAAATTCAATTTTTGGAAAATGATTTAGAAAGCAATAACTTACAGTATTTTTTAGCCTTCTTCTCAGCTTTAAACTTTTTTTAGATACCTCCGCGCACTAATGAACAACATCACCTCCGAGGGAAAAGCTGAATACGATGCGGCCATCGAAAAAGCGTTCGCCACGCTGAAAGGGGTATTTTCATTTGAAAATTCAGAGTCTGTAATCTACCCGTATATATTTAGCAACGAAAAAAAACAAGAATCACAGCTTTCTGCCAATGGTCCATCAATTACTGTAGCTTACGCGTTGCAGCTAGCTTGCCAGCCGAAAAACCCTTTGTTTGGTTCAATGTTGCTTACAAGATGCTTAAGCCGCTTCAAAATGCTTCAAATCTATGTTGCTAAAATTGTCCCGTGTCGCTTTGTCCAAGCTTTGCGTCCGAAAATCACAAATTGTCGAGAGTGGCTAATCAAAGAAAATTAATTAACTAAATTTCTAACAGATTTTTTATGTGAAAAACATTAATTATCTCGTTGATTGATCCTGGTGTAACTTTACATATTAAAACTGCGAGTATTATTTACCTTTTGAAAAAAATAAACTAAATACTAGCAATAACTCAGAAATCCTTGAAAATCCTGATTTTTGCGCTAATATAACGAATTCGAGCGTTCACGTCAGCACTATCAAATGCGACTCAAAATTCCGAGCCTAATGATACCCATAACGTAATTTTTGCCTCACAAAGTTAACTAGCGCTCCATAGCGCAGCCGGTAAGATTCCGGACTGACACCCAAACGACCGGGGTTCGAGTCCCGACCCCGAAATCAAATCGCTACGGCCCCGCTTTCAGCTTCCCAGAGATATTGAGTGGATGCACAAGGACGAGGTCGAGCAGAGCGGCCGGAACTTCTCATTGGAAGGCAAGCACACCATCGAGTTCCCCGAGCGTCTCCTGATCGTCACCGACGAGTACATGAAGGCTGTGGGTGGCTGTTGGCCCCGCGCTTGGCTAAAGCGTATTTTTGGTTGCTATTTTGGGTTTTCGCTTCTCAATTTCCGGTGGCGTATCGTGGTCCCGTGACGAAACTCTTTGCTTTTGGCGAAATTTTGGAGCCTTTTTGGGGATTTTGGGGTGTACGGTAGTTAAAAGGCTCGGACATAGGCATAGGTTAAGGCTTGGGGTTAAGGTTCCACTTAGGCTTAGCCTAGGCTTATGCTCAGGCTCAGGCTCAGGCTTAGGCTTAGGCTTAGGCTTGATCGTTCCATTCAAAAGTTTTTAAGCTCGGAGCTCCGAGGCATTTGCGCCATATATTCCAGTATGCTAATTAGCCTCAAAAGGCCCTAATTACCTTTCCCGTACACCCCTTAAAAACCCACAACTCCTCCCCGCGCGCTCGCACGGCTTCTCCGCTTCTTGTCAGAAAAATCGGCTTCCGACTGCCCTGATGAACTACCGTAATCTCCTCCAGCTGCTCCTACCTCTTGACACGCCCTAATTTGCATGTGGCATGGCTTGCATGAACTTTTGTAGCTTCTCAATGTGAAACTTACCTACTATTTTAAATCAACTACAAGACTTTACTTACTAAACTTTGTTTCTTCCCCTCTGTATGTACCCCTGTCCCTATCAAGGTGTCGTTTCGTGTTTTAAAATTGGATTTTTAATTTTTTAAAAGAAAATTAGTGAATTTGAGGGAAGGAAAAGGCGGAAATTCATCAAAAACCCAAAAACTATTTCATTGAAATTTTTTGAGGCCAAAAAAGCGCCAGTTAGATCGAAAGCTACATACTTAATTTTTTTTTGAGAGCTCATTTTGCGTAATTTCATTTGAAACATGGATTGCCTGCTCCATTCCCAACACTCCTACCAATTTCAAAAAGTTTAATAAAATTTTCTGGACCGACTAGGGTTTTTAGCTGGGCAACACCGAGGGGATCACATCAGAATACGGATGTGAAAGTGTGTTGGCGCTGATCACTGACGGAGCACCAGAAGATTACCATGAGATCTTCCAGCGTTACAATCCGAAGGGAGAGGTGAGCTCTCTCTCTCTCTCTCTCTCTCTCTCTCTCTCTCAAAAACTATCGTTCCCTTTAGATCCGTGTCTTCACCTTCCTGATCGGCGAAGAAGCCATCGACTTCGAGCAGGTCAGGAATATGGCCTGCCAGAACCGCGGCTACATGGTCCACATCCAGAATATGGCCGATGTCGAGGAGAAGATCCAGGTACGGAACGTTACTCGAGACGCTAGCAGCTTCCAAGAATGAAGCAGGCTTGCCAATTGTGTGGCAAAATGAGAGAGCAAATAAAAACAATCCGGTTTTCAGAACTACATTCGCGTGATGAGCCGACCGTTGGGAGCCCATGACAAGGACATTGATGAGAAGAGTCAAGTTTGGAGTGGTGTGTATCGAGAGAGATTGGTGAGTTATAAGGCCCACTCGCTCTCTATCGCTCGTTGTCTCTATCTCTATCTCTCTCGCTCTCTCTCGCTCTCGCTCTCTCTCTCTCTCTCTCTCGGGTCACTCTTTCGCTTCCTTCCTTTCACGGTCTCTCTGGGCCTAAAGTAACTTGTTTGCACCAATTCCTATTTAAATCGTTTATATCAAGGATTTTTCAGTACCTACCGCGCCGCGAACGCTTCGCCGACCCGGCCCCACTCACCAACCAGTCGGTAAGTGCCAAGTTCCAGCGTTTCCGTATATTCCCCATCCCCTGAAGAACCAGGCGAAAAACCAAAAGGCCAGCCGGGCCTCGTGGGTAAGCGTGGCACACCAATTACAGTATACCACAGTCCCGAATGGGTTTTATCTGAATTTAATTTTGCCGATATCACCAAGCGAAAAATCACGTCTGCGCTGCAAAGTGGCTTGTTTTATGTGGCGGTCGCAATTTGGAGCGTAAAGGAAATCAAAACACGTCGAATTGGCCGGCCGGCTACCTCTGTGGCATGTGCAAATTTGTGAAAAAGCAATGCAAAATGGGTCCCGGAACGAAGCATGTGATTTATGGCTTTTATGAGTTGCGCAGTGTACCTGCAAATGAGGGCCCTTTGTGGATTTGGGAGCATTAAAAATCTAGGAAATGTCTAGAACCGAAAATTCAATATTTAGGTCTAGTTATACTATGGGTTATTTAGATTATTTAGTCTTGTACTCAAGATTTCATTTTGAGAAAATTTCATTTCATTATTTCATTAAAAGATTTCATTTCATCAAAAAGAGAAAATCTGCGTAAATTATATAGTTTCCCTGATTTCGTTTGGTTTCATGTTTTTTTTAGAAACTCCCACCCAGGAATTCGGTTAATTTGCATACGAAAACCTACTTTTTAGCTTTTTAAAAAAATAAGTTTTATTTTGATGCAATTAATTTACTTAGAAATGTCTACGCGCTTGATTTATATATCTAAGCAAGCTGATTAAAAATTCATCGTAGCTAAATTACATGTTTGCATTTCAAGGTCTCGCGCCTCTTAATTTCTTCTAGTTTAGTGTAATTTCAAATTTTATTGGAAGAAAAAAAAATTTCAAAAGAGAGAATCAGTTTTTTCCGACGGAAAATCTTTGAGCGCTGTAAAACAGAGTGTTTTATGCAAATCTGTCTACCATTTTTCTAGTTCGCCCAAATGAACCGAATGGCGGCAAAGAGGAAGATTCATATGAAAAAAGCGGAAGCACGGAGTCGGATGTTTGTCACTACAGTGTCATATCCGGTGCTGCTGAACAAGACATTTATGGGTGTTGCTGCTGTCAACATTCCGTTGACTGAACTTGGCCAACTTGCCCATCCTACTGAGGTAAGTGGAAAGAGAGATTGACATAGAGCGAGAGAGAGCGCGAGTGAGAGCGTGAGACGGACGGAGAGAGAGAGAGTGAGCGAGAGAGAGGGAGAAAGAGAGAGAGATAGAGAGGGAGAGAGAGAGAGATAGAGAGAGAGAGAGAGAGGAGATCAAAACTTTTTCGTCTTCAGATTGGCGGGAACAGCTACTACTTCATGCTCGATTACAACGGCTTCATCATGTTCCATCCGCAGCTAAGACCAATTGTAAGTTTTAGCGAGAGAGAGAGAGAGAGAGAGAGAGAGAGAGAGGGAGAGGGAGAGAGAGCGAGTGAGAAACGAGCCAAAAATATATACTACTTTCAGGACATGCGCACTAAACTCCACAAGCAAAACTACAACAACATGGAGCTGCTCGAGCTGGAGGTCGGCCAGAATGGGATGGTAAGCAGCAAATAATTTTCTAAAAACGCTAATTTTCTATGTCTAATCCAAAACAGCTTTAATCAACCAAAAACCTGATGTTCAATTTTTCGCGCTCAAAACGCTCTCAAAAAAAAGTGTGGCCTATATGTTTTCTCACCTCACTTTTCCGCCGCGCTACAGTTTACTAAAAGACCGCGGAAGGACGAGGTTTGGCTTCCTGCAAATGTCATTTAATAACCACTTTATAATGGGTTTCAAGTAACAAGATTGCTGTGAAATCAACCAAAGCTAATCTTTTTTTTCTTTAATGCTATCCCCAATATATCTAAATGTTTTGCACTAAAAAGCGGGGCAACGCGGGGGTACTCTTTTTGGCAGATTTTATTCCGCGTGATATGCGCCCGACCAAATCAGGCATTTTCCTGGCGTAATCGACCTCCGACGACGCAAATATACTGAATTGAATACCCTCTTATTAAAGGGATACGGGAGTTTTTCTTTCTAACAATCCAATTTGTAAAATAAATGGAGAAAATGTTTATAATTCATTTTCATTATTCCTAAACGCAAGGCGTCCAGAATTTTTACGAAAATTCAAAAATACCGATTTTCGAAAAGATTGTCGAATTTGACAAATTTAATTTAGATATTTTATAGCTTAGGGATGGATTCTCCAATTCAAACATAAATTAAACTTGCGAAAATAACTGGAGAATACGTACCGTTATGTTATACTACGGTAGGATACAAACAATTCGGGTTCGTCCTACTAGGAAATAAATCCTCCGTCCGACAAGTTACCTTTCTTATGCCAATTTGGTATGGTTCATCCTTATCCCTCTAATGTAAGAGACTTGGTTCTTGAACAACCCCTAAAAACCGGTCATTCTGAAGGCGTTCGACTTTCACGAGACACGCCCCAACCACCCGACGCACCACGAGCCCCGCGGCCATTGCCATGAGGGCAGTACGTATGCGGACTGTGTACGCCAGTTCAGACATCATGTGAGGGAATATCTATCGGAGACTGTAGAACGTGCCCAGCACCGTCACGGAATGGCCATCGTGGCGTCGTGTGCTGCTCTATATTCTGTTGCTTCGCGGCTGCCTCGAATGAGGCGGCTGTTTGGCTGTCTGTACGTGTGCCTGTAAATCACGCGCAGTACTGTAACGCTGTCGCTTTCCGGATTTGAGTTGCTGCACTGCTTCAAGGCGCCAATTGATGCAAAAAAAATAGAGTAGATACGTCACAACTAAATTTTTATGATATTTGAATCTAATGACTGGAATATACAATCCAGGATAAAAAAGGGCCGAGAACGACATGAGAAGCGGGAGAGAGCGAGTGAGAGATAGAGAGAGGGAGAGAGAGAGGGAGAGTGAGAGAGAGATCGAGAAAGAGAGTGAGAAAGAAAGCGAGTGAGAGAGCGAGAGAGAGAGAGGGGATCAACAAACCTTTTTAGCTTCCGCTTCCGTACTTAAGCCTGAAAAGCATTTTCGCGTGACATGACTTCAGCTTTCTTAACTCTGCTATAATTTCAGTAGTACCATTTTCAGTTTTTCATTGCCTGGCTATTGTGCCGGTACATCTATCGTGTGCTTATTTCCTAGAATTCCGATTTACCGCTGATAACTTCTCGGTTCCAGATGCACAACGTCGTCCTGAACTGCGACAACTCGAAGCCGCCGACCTTGGATGTGCTTTTTGCCTCGGATATGGTGGTAAGTAGACAGATCCGACGAGAGAGAGCGGAGAGGGGAGAGAGAGAGAGAGAGAGAGAGAGAGAGAGAGAGAGAGAGAGAGAAAGGGAGAGCGTGAGAAATAGAGAAAAAGAAAATTCCGTTACGTTCCTCTTTCCAGGATCGCGTGTACCCCCAAACCAACACCTACTACTCGGAGTGCATCAAGGATTCTGACTTCGTGCTTGGGTTGGCTGTATCGAAAGGTAATCGCCCAAATTTTTGAATTTATCATAGATTTCTGCGCTTGTCAGTACCTTTAAAATCGGCCATTATAATTTGCAAAAAAGGAGATGTTAAATACAGACAGTCGCAAACTTCAAGGGGCGGGGGGCGCGGTACTTGCCAGTACGTAATATTCGAAATTACAGGCGACGAGTCGCGAATCGCACGCCGGAACCAGAACTACGACTACGGCAAGGTGCAGCTCAGCTGGGCCGAGGAGGGCCATTGGCATATCCACCCGTACTGGAGATATTGCCTGCTCAACGACACGGACGCCGGCATCAGCAAGGAGGAAGCTTTTGTCGTCTACATGAAGCAGATGAAGAAGTCTGGCAAGCTGCCGGAGTTGTGTAGAGCGCGACAGGTACGTGATGCTCCTAGCTACAGCTAAATTTTGCTAGGCTCTGGTCGACCGTCTCATTCTTGACCTTGAGGCCACCGCGCCGATCTACTCGCAGTGGCAGGAGCAGTACAACTTCATGAATGAGTACGGTAATTCTAGGGGTTTTTGGGAGTTGTCAAAGTAGGTAATAGTGGTTAGAGGTTATAGTATATTGTCGAAGTGCAACAACTTCAGCCAAGTCCAGAATTTACCATGAACGCGTGTTAAGACTTCAAAACCCTACGAATTCGAGAAGTTCAACGGGCTCAACAGGTTCAGAGTACCCCATCAAAACATTTTGGGCAATTTTCCAAAACGCGACGAGTTCAACGAGTTTAGCATGTTAGAAATAAGTCCTTAGGAAAATTTTAGAAAATCCTACTTATTTTGGAGCTCAACGAGTTCAAGAAGTTCAGTAATATGCATCAATTTTCAGAAACCTCATCCACCTGACCTTCTTCGCGACACAGTCCGGCCTGATCCGCTACTACAATTATACACTGGAGTCATTCCTCTACAACGAGAAGAACTACGACATGTTCAACGTCATCCAGATGACCGAGGGGAAGCAGTTGCGGGAGGACGAAGTCCGATTCCAAGAGTCAGTCCCGAACATAGACCTAGTTTCACTCCTGCCACTCATCTGCAAGCTGTTCGGCTTCTACAAAAAAAATAGCGGTTTTTTGTAGATGAACGAGCTGTTGAGCAATGAATTTGCGGTCAAGCAGAAATTCTTGCGAAAAATCGATTAAATGCGTTTTGCAGGAGCTACCAACACTTCATCACCGAAATCAACCGGAAATCGGTGGAGGACCGCTACTTCCGGAGATCGATTCGGCAAAAGGACAAGATCGTCTTTGACATCAACAATTCTTGTAAGTAATGCTTTCTGCTTACTTTAATTCTAGAGGATTTTTGTTTTGTATTCCGTTTTAAGGGCAAAACTAACTACGGATTTTTAGCGAAACTTTGGTACCCCATGGGAGAAACCAAGTCGGCGTACGGCATTCTGGAGAACGTGACCCTGCTAGGCCAGGCGACAAAAGCCATTTATAAGGTGAGAATTTTGGGTATATTTTGCTTCTAACAATGAAGGTTTTAGAGAACTTTGGGATGTTAAAGATTTAATATTCGGAGTAAAAATAGTCCTCGAGAGGGGTCGAATCCTAAATTAAATGGTCGCCCAAGGCAGAAAAAACGACGCTATGGAAATCCGAGCGCCGCGTTTGCACCAAATGCGTGATTTTCCATAGCCCAAAAGTTGGCAATTTTGCCTTGTCAGTCCCTTTAAAGCCAGTCTCAAGGGCCTGAAGATCATCGCAAATTAATTCTGCATTTTCCTGAACCTCATAAAAATACAAAAAACCCGAATCCGCTAAAGACCGATCGCCGCCGTGACGAGCACAATGTGGAAATTGTGGTAATGCTCGAATTTTTCGCCAAAATCCCCGAATCCCGAAAGAAAACTGATTATGCTATTTTTCCCGAATTCCACCGGCTATACTCGTTGTCAACCGGCTCAGCAAACCACGCGCCATCACCACTTTTTTTAGCTGGAAAATATATGATTTTCTAAGCCCACTGCTTTGAAAAGCCAGATAAGGAATTTTTGAAAAAGCCTGTTTCCAGGAAGATGCCCTGCTTGGAGTCGCCGGCCTCGAGTTTGTGATGGATTGGCTGGTGAATACGATGACAAATCATGGATGTCCACCATCGGTAAGGAGAGAGAGCGAGATAGTGAGTGAGAGCGAGAGTGAGAGTGAGAGAGGGAGAGAGAGGGAAAGATACCTGGACGTCTGGCATGCGCATTATGAAACACTCTTTTCCAGGATTGGCAACATTGGTGTGTACTGCTCGACGAGCACGGCTACGTCGTCTACAGTAACGATGCGGCTACGTCGTATAAGAACGCTTATATGTAAGTTTCCAAAAGATTTTTGCGAGTCTCAAAATCAGGCATTTCATCATCATCAAAAATTGAATTTTATTCGTAAAATCGAAAATCTATTTGACGATAGTAGATGTAATATTGATGTCTCAAAATACCCCTAATTTTTCAGGGACCTTCGTGGAGGTGAATCTCATCTTGGAGTCTTCTTTGCTCACATCAATCGAGTGGCAGAAAGGGCCATGGAGCTGCTGGTGCATCGTGGATTTTATAAAAAGTGGGTTTCCGACAAGGGAGCGAGAGGGAGAGGAGAGAGAAAGAGAGAGAGAGAGAGAGAGAGAGAGAGAGAGAGAGAGATAGAGGTAGAGAGAGAGCCTCATCCATGTGTCTTGCAGATACATGTACTACGACCACCAAGCCACCTGCTTGAAGCCGAAACCTGTCACCCAATCTGGATACTCCTTGAGAAGGCCGATCACCTCGATCATTGCCTACTTCATGAGATTCGTCAACAAGTTGCTACTCTCGGCAAAGCAACTGTCCTTGTTCCCGTTTTTCCACCAGTTCATCAACACGGCTGAAGGTGCGGATTAATGTTCTATCTTCTTGAAAACCAGAAAATTGCTTATGGATATTATTTTTGCTAAGAATCGTCAGAAACCTCTTTAACTACCGTAATCCAGTAATCCCAAATTTTTTCGCGAACTTTGCAATCCTATTTTTCAGCCTTCACCGCGTCGTTCCACACTGCTCACGATGGGTTCCCTTGCACCAAGGAGACGCCTTTTTACTACCAACAGCCTGATGACGAAACCAGATGTAAGTTTTTGATCGAATTTAATTATTAATTACGTCGTATTAATTTGATGGAGATACTGTAATAGTAATAATTTGTTTTAGCTGGAGACCTGGTCGACGGAGGCCGAGCCGAGAAGCCGTGCATCAACACCAAGTGCGCTGTGTAAGTCTGAAAAATTATAGTAGGCCAAAATGGGTGTATGAACACCTTAAAAATAATATTAATGATTTTGATACGACTTAATGATAATTTTAGCCGGATGCAAGCCCACAGCGTGCCAAACACCAACCTGATCATGGTGTGGATCACCCAGACCAAGGACTCGATGCACTGCTACGAGTCGGCGCATTGTCCGCTCAACTACCCGAGTCCGGTAAGTAAAATTTGCAAGTAAATTCTTTGCTTATATTTTCTAGAGTAGGCATATAGGTTTTGTAGAATAGAGCTATAGGTCCGCGAACCATAAAATTACTTTTCAGGTGCCCTTCATCTGGAAGAGCACGGAGCACAACACGACGGAGAGCAAGTGCCGGCACGTTCGTTCAGATCGGCCAAACCGGAAAAAGCGCTGTTTCCCCCGGAATGATTGTAAGTGTATCCGCAGTGCGACTGTTAGCTGAACATACGTTTTAAAGGGCCGCGAAAGCGTGGAAATTTTCTAGTCACTTGGTGAGGCTCGGAGTAACCTACCGTATCGATTGAATTTTTGCATTTACCAGCTTCCTACCAACTTTTCGGAACTATCGGGGCCGCACCATACCTTTAAAGGGCCGTTCAGAGCCGTTTTTTTTTGGAAAAAAGCAAAGATTTTTGCCGCGGCCGGGGGTCGAACCCGGGCCCCCCGCTCGGGAGGCGCGGATGCATGCCAGTCAGCCACAGCTATAACCTGGCGAGAGGATGAGAGGCGCCCCACGCCGCAAAGGACGGAAATTGCCTCCCACGGCACGGGCAGACAGTGCGCGCGGTCCCTACGTCCATAGGGTGTACACGTTGGGACGAGTACACGGCCCCTCCTTGAACGTGCTGTTGAAGGGGAGGAGGACAAGGTGTTAATCAGGGAGACAGATCCTACAGCCGGGTGCGATTCAAGCCTTCCCAGTCCCTTTAAAACCACAAAAAGCAATTCTTATGAAATTCCAACCCCGATTCCAGGACGAAAAAGGAATGCCCTGCTCGCCGGCCGCCCACCTCACTACGGTTATTGCCTTTATCGGTGTCTTGTCGCGATTTCTATTCTAATTTTTGAGCCCCAGCTCCCCTGCAGCTTCATGGTTTTCAGCGATTGATTAATGCAAAACGGGTATAGATTCTCAATGATTATGCAGATTAATTTTCTAATTTTCACGAATTTCCCAATGACATTCTGGCACCTTCTATGGTTCAAATGACATTAATTTCTACGCTTTTTTGGGGAGAAACTCCCCAAAAAACTGATCCAGTTGTGATACGACTTGTATATTTTTGAGGAGCCTCGAAAAAATATCATTTTAGGTCATTTTGTAGTTGCAAAATAAAGATTCTATTTATTGTTTTTTTTGCATTTTTTGGTGATTTGATCTGCTGAGTTGAATAAATCGTTTCAATATATTTTTCAGACATGAAGCAAAGTAAAGTAATTAAAATACGATTTGCCATTCTTATGAACTATAAAATATAAACTATTTTTTTAATGGTTGAGACCATCTAGTATTAGTGAGTTCAATAGCAATAAAATGGGTTATTTGTATTTTTTCTTAAATTTAAATGTAGCTGAAAACGGCTAAAATTAATTTTATTTTACCTTGTCAAATTTCATGTTGTCGACATTTTATTGCGTCGAAAATTTAGATGCCAAAACTCAATTTTTAAAATTTATATAAAATTTAAAAAATAAAATTTTAAATTTAAATTTAAAGTCACAAAATAAATTTCGCGAACATGAATTTCCATTAAAATTACGCTCCTAAAGATGCATTTCCAGAAACACAACACTTTCAAATCTCGTTTATTAAATTATACTCAATCATCAATTTGTCGGTACCGGCATCATCAGCACAAAAAATGTGACAACAAATCAGCAATGACAAGATAAAATTTTGAAATCTTCGTCGGTATGGGCTCCAATCGATTTTCGCGAGCTTCGGGCGAACATAGCCGAGAATAAAGCTGAAGAATAAGATCCAAAGAATCATAGTAATTCCTAGTTGCAAAAACGTAGCATAGCGGAATTTCTATACGCACTTATCAGAACGGAAATGATGATGCATGTTTTAGGCGAATTCAGCTGTCGAACGTTCTTTTAGCGTGTTGCCAGGGTGATAGCAACTGGGGCAACGTTTAGGGATTAGGATTAATCGGGGGAAACAGAATTTGATGACGGCATCTAATAAGGAGAGAGAGACAGCGAGAGAGAGAAATAGAGAGCGAGAGAGATAGAGCGAGAGAAAGAGAGATGTAGAGAGAGCGAGATAGATAGATAGATAGAGATCGCGACAGATGTAGCGAGAGAGCGCGAGATAGAGAGAGAGCGAGAGGGGGAGAGATAGAGAAAACCAGGGAGACCCAAAAAACTAGACGGGAATTGTGCCAAAAACGCCTACAAATCCGCAAAAATTGGCACAACAACTTATTTTTGAAAGGATATTTAGGGTATCGCAAAACCAGGTCCTGTTTTATAAAAAAAGTATAAATTGTTTATCGTGTAAGCTCATGCTTTTCAAAAAGCTTTATCGGCTTCAACAACCACCGTATTCCTCTCATTCCTTTCATTCCTCATTTCGAGCACCACCTCCTCCAGCCCAGCATCATCAGCCAATATCAACTGCATGGAAATAATAAAGTAGAGGAGAATATTGGCCGATCGATCGGCAACGGCATCCCAGTCAATGTGCAGCTTCCTTAGATACCTCCTCAACATCAGATAGAAGAGCACAAGAATGCAGAGTGTCGATATTTTCATGTTTTTTCTAGGATTCGACAAGGGAAATGCATGAATTTGGGTCTATAAAAGCGGAGGTGCGAGTCGGACCTGCTAGCTAGAAATCGATGATCGGCAGCCTTGGTCCCGTTTTCGTGGTTTTTGAATGGGAACGGGCAGAATATTAAAACGCGCTCAACACGACGCCCGAGCGGAGCGAACAGATATGTTCAAGGGACAGTGACAGGAACAACTTCAAGCTGTCATTTTCGCCAATACTAGCACCGGCAAAATGGCAAGGAACCTAAACAGCAACGGCTTTGAGTCGGAACACCGTTAATCCGGAGAGGTCTCGGATTAAAGGGACCGTGACAATACGAAATTAGAATAATTTGAGTCAAAATAAACACAAAATAAATCAGCAGCAACCCGATATCTTGCAATAAAATTAATTTCGCAAATAAATACCAAAATTTATGAATGGACAACAAAGCCTGATAAAAGCTAAAGATAAATAAATTTTTGAATTGCGAAATCCGGAGGCAGTTACCAATTTTTCGGTCGGGTGTAAATGCATGTGGAAAAATTAAATGCAGACAAGATCAAAACCGCATGAAACCGATATTGGTAATAAACTAGGATAATCCCAAAGTGTAACTAAATATTAAAATTTTTGAAATGCTACATCTGAAAATCTGAGAACGGTTTAATAGACAGCATTTTCAATAAACATTGATTTTTCAATGCCCCATCTTGTAATTTCGACCCAAAGCCATGCTAAAAACTGGTATAAAAATTTGTTTACCTAATTTGCATACGCATCGCGAAAATTTGTGCATTGCAGAGAAAACCGCCACATCTTCATTTCGTCTCAGTTGTCGATCCCACTCACTAGCGGCTGGTCCCGAATGGGATGTCTAGGTAGGGGAATCGGAGAATTTTCATTTCTTGTTCTTTTTCCAGGCACCTACCTAAATGAGCTCACCTCCTTCTTCGGCACCTACTGGGTCATCATCGGGCCGCTGGTGTTCAGTCCGCTGTGCGCGTTTGGGAAGGTAGTTGCCCTCTCCTGCTCTCTGTCACTCTCTATCTCTCTCTCTTTCTCTCTCTCTCTCTCTCTCTCTCTCTCTCTCGCACTCTCTCGCTCTCCTCACCTCCAACTAAATTTTTTACTTCAGGCGCTCCAGTGTGTATTCTGCATCTGCCTAATTGTCAGCTACTGGATTACCCAGGTTTTGCGTTCAAATTAGCGGTATCCAAATTGGTTCAGACTGCCCACTACGGCGTCACCAGCCTGCTGCCCATCTTCCTATTTCCGGTTTTTCGGATTATGACAATCGAGGCGGTTATTGGATCCTACTTCAAGGTAAAGAAAGGGCGACAGAGTGAAAGAGACAGGGAGAGAGAGAGAGCGAGAGAGCGAGAGAGCGAGAGGAAATTATTGATTCAAACATATTTAGGACGCCACCGTCATGCTGTTCATCACCCTCGCCCTCGGCGTCGTCGTCGAGGAGGTCAACCTGCACAAGCGGATAGCGCTGAAGATGTTGTGCTGCGTATGACGTTCTGAACTAATAAATCAGGATCTGCCCTGTAAATTATCTTGGCTGGCTTATCCAAACCTCGATTTTTTAGACCGGAACCCGCCCGAATCGGCTGCTCTTCGGCTTCATGCTGATCACCGGCTTCATGTCGTTTTTCTTGACCGACTACGCGGCCACGGCTCTGATGTTGCCGTTTGCACATGCGGTTCTGGAGGCGAAGCAGCACGGCAAGCAGAGGTGGAAATTATTGAAATCTCTCTCTCTCTCTCTCCTTTGGCTCTCACTCTCGCTCTCTCCTTCTCTTTCTCGGTTTGACGCTGTTTTAAAGGCACATTGACAGTAGATTTGCAACCTGATTTAGCCTCCAAAGCGGCGTCTTCGTCGACCCGTCCAAGGTGGCCAAGATGCAGGAGGACAGCCATCACCCCGATCATCCGGTCCCACACCTGCCCGAGCAAACGGCCCCATCACCCGACAAGAGAAGACCGTAAGGATTATAATATCGTAGTACCCTCAAATGCCGTATTTCTATTAGATCTTCCACTTACACCGTATCTGAGCTCAACTCAGCAAGATTCTGGTGATATTTTTCGGCAATCTGTTCAGGAAAAGAGGCACGCCCACCACCGAACACAACGATTCTGGTGACCGCTCGATGCACAGTGAACCCCCGGAGGATGATCACCAGATTCTCAGCAACGATAAACCGTAGGAGAAATTTGGATTTTTTGATAAATTTTGAGTCCTAGATCCGACACCAGAAAACAGAAGCGTCGTAGACCTCGAGGCGAACGAAACGACCGGAAATCGGTTGCGTCGGAGAAGCAGAGGTAGAGGCGGACTGTTTTTTCTTGTTTTGGAGCCTTGTGTCATTGTCGAGACCTGGTAGGAAGGGGGTTGAATCTAGTTTTTTGCTTCTTTAAAGGGGCGGTGACAACAAGCTTGGATTGGTCCCAAGCCGTAACATTCTTTTTAGTCGCACCGAAGAGGGCCGTGACCAGCCAGGCCTGAAGCGCGCCCCCAGCAACCCAAGTGCCATCCCGTCGGGTTCTGATGAGAGGTTTCCACATAGATCATTCAAACCTAACCAAACCCCTAGTTCGCCGCGAAGGAACCGTCGACTCAAGCGCAGGAGGAGCCATCAACGGTCGGCGGCCTCTGCGGCTTCGGATGCTAGGTGGGAGCCGAACTGCTTGCACATTTTCGGTTTTGGTTCTGGCGGCGAAGTGTCCTGAAAATCTCCGCTAACTTGCGACCGCATGCTTGGCTTTGAAATTACGCTTTTTACGCTACAGTACCCAACGGAAGCGCCAGCAAGCAAAACCAGCGAAAAGTCTACCAAAGGCGGCATCGTCAGGCGGTTCGGGATCAACGGATAAGAGGTAGACGAGAGCGCGAGAGAGATAGACAGAGAACGAGAGAAAACGCCTCAAAACAATATTTATTTTTAGTTCCGGCCGAAAACGCAAAGAGGGTCGCCTGAAGAGCCAGAACCCGCAAAACACGGGAGGCGAGAGCTCTGAGAGAGCGTAAGTTTTCGCCAGAGTGAGAGAGAGAGAGAGAGAGAGAGAGAGAGAGATAATGAAGAGATGGAGAGAAAGCTACAAAACGTTATTTCAGTTCCGGCTCCACAGGACGTCCAAAGAGGGACACGCCAAGGCCGCGACGCGAGGGCACACTCGACGAGACGCAACGCGCGTAAATTTACCTGCCCTAATTGATTGCCTAATGTTTTCTTAGGACACTTTCCGAGATGCGCCGAAAAACGGGCGGGCACGACCCGGGAACGCCAGGTCACGCTCTCTCCAGCAACGCCCGACAAACGCAAACCCCGAACACGGAAGACGTCGAGAAGGTGACGAAAAAAGAGAAGGACAAGGAGGAGGACAAGGGTACGGCATCGCCACCGTACAATTGTAATCTATGGTGTCAGGTTTCCGGAAAGCGCTGATCCTCTCGTGCTCCCATGCTTCACTCGTCGGCGGCACCGCGATTCTCACGTCAACCGGCCCGAATCTGATTTTTCAATCGCAGCTGAAGCAGTGGGTTGATATCTCCTGTTTATGCTGACCCTTCTCTCTCTCGTTCTCTCTCCCTCACTCTCTCTCGCTCTCTCTCTCTCTCGCTCTCTCGCTCTCCCGACCTTTGTTTTCAGCCTGGTCCGCATGGGTGTCCTGCCCAAGATGGAAATCACCTTCTTCGACTGGGCCGTCTTTGCCATCCCGCCCATGTGCCTCTACATGATCGCGTCGTACTTGGTGTTGCTGGTATATTCATTTAAAGAAACCTAAAAAATGATACCCTGCCCTAGGTCTGCTTCATGGGTCCGATGGAGCTCTTTGGATTTTGGAGGAAGACAAAGCGTGGGTATTTCGGAGCGAGAGAGAGTGAGAGAGAGTGAGAGAGAGAGTGAGAGTGAGTGAGTTATAGAGAGAAAAGGACAAACCTGGTCACCTAAACTTGTAGGCCAAGAACGCGTCGAGCAAGAGCACATCCGCCTCGTCCTCCGCGGCTGCTACCAAGATCTCGGGAAGGTGTCGTGGGCCGAGAAGTGGGTGATGTTCTGGGTGGGAGCGCTGACGCTCGCCTGGCTGACCCGCGACCTCGGCTTCATCAACCTCGGCTGGGGACCGCTGCTGTTTTCGGAGGATCATTAGTGGGTTGAAGCTAGAGAGAGAGAGAGGGGACCAGAAAGAGAGAGAGAGATAAAGGAAGATAGAGCTGTCCTGTAACCTCCCATTAATGCTCCGATTCTAGCGACTACATGACCGACGCCACACCTGGCATCATCGTGCTCTACTTGATGTTCGTCTGGCCGAGGTACAACCCGTGGGATGTGAGGACAAGGACTAAAGGTATCTTTCTCTCTTTCTCTCTCTGTCCCTGTCTCTCTCGCTTTCTCTCTCTGTGTCTGCTTCCATATCTCTCTTTAAAGGTGAAGGCCCGGAAAAGCTGTTGACCTGGCCGATGCTGCAACACAAGTTGGCTTGGTCGTTGTTGTTCCTCGTCGGCTGCGGGTTCGCCATCTCCACTGCTGTCAAGGTAAGCTAATCTTTCTATCTCTCTCTCTCTCTCTCTCTCTCTCTCTCTCTCTCTCTTTCTCTCTCTCTTTTTCTCTCTCTCTCACTATCGCTCTCTCTTACTCTCTCCCATCCCTATCTACCGTAATCCTTCAGGAAAGCGGCCTTTCCTCCCAGATCGAAGACCTTCTCAAGGAAGAACTGAGCGGCCTCGACCCATTATTACTTCAATGTATACTTTCATGCTTTTTCCAATTCCTTTCTGCTCTAGTAATATGCCTCCTGATCGTCGTCGTGCTCACCGAGTTCGTGAGCAACTCCAGCACGGCCAGCATCTTTGTACCGCTGTTTTTGGGGGCGGTTGGTATTTTAAAAATTGTCTTGAAAGCTCGCTGTCCACGTTGACGTCGTCGTTTAGGCGCAGAGTCTCAAAATGCACCCGTACTACCTCGGAATCCCGGCCGCCATCGGACCGTCGCTGGCCTTCATGCTGCCGATGGCCACCCCGCCGAATGCGCTCGTCTTCGAGACGGGCGAGATTACGTTTTGGGAAATGGTGAGAGAGGGAAAGACAAAGAGAGAGAGATAGAGACAGAGAGAGAGAGATAGAGAGAGAGAGAGAGAGAGAGAGAGAGAGACAAAAGGCCGAGCAACTGGGCAAAAATATACCGACCAGCGTAATTTGTAGAATACACGAAGCAGGGTCAACGACAGGTTCAAGCAGTTCAGCAGCCAATCCCACTTTTTAGGTCTACTCCGGCGGCTTGCTGAGCGTCTTCTGTGTCGGTGCCACGATGCTGAACATGAACACGTGGGCGTACTGGTGGTTCAACATGGACGAGCACAAATGGCTTGAACGGGCCCCCGGCAACACGACGCTCCAAATGCCACCCACCCCATCCGCTCATGCCATGAGCCTCAACGGCATTGAATGATCCACTCGCCCCTAAACTTTTTTTTATTAGAATACGTTTCTGTCCGATTGTTTTTTTCGATGATCTCCTTACCGGCATGCCGAGTTGGCTTTTGCATGTGATTTGCTTGTATAGTTTTCCGACGTGATAAAGTGATTTTTGAAGAGGATCCAAAGGAGAGAGCTAGTGTGCGGGAGAAAGAGAGAGCAAAAGAGAGACAGATAAACAGTTAGACAGACAGACAGATAGGTAACGGCAAAATAGAGAGAAGAGCGACATTCAAAGCCTCCGAAATAATTTTATTTACATTCAATCATAAATGGTCGAGGAAAAAATTATTTCCATTTCATCTCTTCTTTCCACCAATTTTCCGCTACCGTACCTGCGAGGGCTCGCGCACACTTCTGGTCCATACGCTCGCTTTGGGATTTTCTAAAAACGGACTATCTGCAGCACTTTGACTCTATCAACCTCTCTCTCACCCTCTCCGTCTCTCTCTCTCTCGCTCTTATCTTAATACTTCAAGCCAAAAAGAAACTCACGTCAACCAATTCCGCCAATCCCCAGATTTTCCTTGCCGGAAGTGGGTGTTCACCGGAATGTCAGGGTCTTTCTCGTTGTTTCGGCTAAACAACAAATGGTGTTCAATTCGAACGAACAAACTACAAAAGCGAGGACCAAAAACTCACAAAACTTCATCAGGGAAAAATTTGCTGGCCGCCGTCTTCATCTCGTTAAAGCTGGTTGCTTTCAGGATCTCGTCCAGTCGGGTAGAATTCAATTCGACTCCGAGGTGCTTTGCCATTCTAAATTAAAATTTTAAAAACGTTTTATAGATTTGTTCTACAACTCGATATTTTAATTTACCGCCGGATTGAGAACTTACTTCTCAATATGTTTCCTCGGCTCGGCCAGTAATTCTTCATACAGTACGGTATACCAGTTTGTGTTTGATAAAAGTGGGAAGAACCTGGAAAATGACTGGATGTGGGAGAGAGAGAGAGAGAGAGAGAGAGAGAGAGAGAGAGAGAGAGAGAGAGGAGAGAGCGGGAGAGGGAGAGAGGAGAGAGAGCGAGAGAGAGAATGATAGACAGCCAGAGAACACCTACCTTTTCAAATACTCAAAATAATCGCCATAACTTGTCGTCCCATCCATGAAAAATTCGAAAAAGTCGTCAAATTCCATATCTTTACATTCATAGGCCTTCATATTTTTGAAATGGTGGTAGTAACTAAACTTGAGGGTTAAATGCGAGGATTACGGTACGTACCTGACGCATAAATCCTTTGGATTCCGGACGGCAAAGATAATTTTAGTGTTATCAAGGTTTGGCAGCATTTCGGGGCGGAGATGAGACTAGATTTGACATTTTTGAGAGTTTGAAATGCGTATAATCGATGATTTTTCTATTTTTAAGCGTAGTAAAAAATATGTTTTAAAAAATAAATTCAACTTGAGTTGTTTCAATAATATATTTAAAGCGCACGTTCAGGGAGGGGCCATGTACTCGTCCCAACGTGTACACCCTATGGACGTAGGGACCGCGCGCACTGTCTGCCCTTGCCGTGGGAGGCATCCTTTGCGGCGTGGGGCGCCCCTCAGCCCCTCGCCAGGTTGTAGCTATGGCTGACTGGTATGCGACCGCGTCTCCCGATCGGGCAGGCCCGGGTTCGACCCCCGGCCGCGGCGAAAATCTTTGCTTTCTTGGCCAAAAACGTCCCTGAACGTGCCCTTTAAATACCTTGATAATCCTCGGTGATTCCAGCCCTTCTACATATTTTGGGCCGAAGAATTCGAGCATTGGCGACGCCATGTATTGAACTGAAAAAGAGGCAGGCTAGCAGTGCACCTCTGAGGAAATCATCCAAACGTCGAAATAGCTTACTTTCTGCCGTTTTCCCATGCAAAATCTGATACACAATATTCTGAATCCACGTGGTTCCGCTTTTGGGGTAGGTCAGCACCATAACATCATCGTCACGGACGGAGAGGTGTTTTGCATTTCTAAAAATGTAGTTTAGTTAAAATTTAGGTTCTTGCCGCTTTATGCTTTAACCAGTACTACTACTTTACTACTTACTGACTACTACTTACTGACTTTGCTACTTACTTAATTTACGTTACTGACTTCGCTCGCTCACCCTCACCGAAACGCGCGCGACCTGACTCACTATGTCCAAAATCACCCCAACCTCCGTCCCCCACCCTTTTTACTAAGGAAAAACTTTCAAAGTTAAATTTAATAATTTAAACGAAAACTTTTTCGTTTTTTTTGATTAGTTTGGGGGTTTCTGACCACGCTCTATCCGAATCCGAAGAGACCTAAGCTCTAGCTCCTCTCCGCAGCGAGTTGAATTCGGCTTCAGACACACACACTGACGCCTCAAGAAAATTATTATAGTTGATTCCACAATGTCAGAGATTTTTCGGGTAGTTTTTCT